CTAGAAATGTGGTGGTGGGTTGGAGTATGGTCAGTACGTGTGTCATTTTGGCTCCAACTAGTTGGTTGAGTATTTGTTTTCTGTCAGGATATGATGTGGCTTGCGGTACTTGTTCCCACTTTTGTAGTATTGCTCGTATCTTGATTTCAAGTTATGTCCAATTATGTTGCTTCCAGGAGTCTGTGTTGCCTAGGCAGATTTTCAGCCCTGTTCACTCCATTGGAAGCCCAACGGGCGGCCTGTTCTGTTTCTCCACCGGCCTACAAACAGTCATTTTGATTTTTGTATGTTTAAGGTAGCTCCTGATATGGCACCATAATCCATGAAGTTTTGCAGCAACTCTGGAAACCCTTCATCTTTTGTAATGAATACCGTGATGTCGTCTGCATATGCGCTGGTGACCAGTGTTCTGTTGACGGCAGCTGGTATTTTGAGTCCGTAATCTCGTAGCTTTTGGTTGCATAGTAAGAGAAAAGGCTCAATTGTTAAGGTGAAAAGTGACCCGTAGAGGGGGTCGCCTTGTCGCACTCCTCTTCCATATTTGAAGGGCGCTGTGAGCGTGCCGTTAGTCTTGACCAGTCCTTGCGCATTGCGGTACACAGTTCATATGTTCTGAATAAAGTTATTTCCAAAGCCGAACTTTCCCAGTATGTAGAAGATGTAAGGGTGTTCCACGCAGGCATATGCTGAGGCTTGGTCAAGCCATATGACTGCAAGCGGCAGATCGTGCACGTTGGCATGGTATATGGTGTCTCGGATGAGGTGCAAGTTGGTATGAATGGTTTTGTTTGGTATACAGTAACTTTGGTCTGTGGTGATGAGGTCTGGGAGCACTGATGTTATTCTTCCAGCTAGACATTTTGTTATTAATTTGTAGTGGTATTAAGTAGTTTTATTGGTCTCCAGTTTGATAATACTGTGAGGTCTCCTGTTTTGGGGATAAGGGTTATTATTCCATTATGCATGGAAGTTGGCAGTTTTCCCTCTTGCATACTGATGTTTGCCACTCGTAAGGGCAGAGGGCCAAGTTCATTCTAGAACTTCTTGTACAGTTCTTATGCGAGCCCATCCAGTCCGGGTGATTTCCCTGGATTTGAATTTTGGAGCGCTGTGGTCAGCTCCTTTATGGTGAAGAGTACGTCCCATTTTTCACGTCTTTCTTGATCAAGCGATGGTAAGTTGGAGATGTCATCCCTTATGTCTGGTTTGTGTCCTTTCGTACTGTAGGATTCTTGGAAGTGTTACCGTAGTTCTGTTCGAATTTTATTAGGTTCGCTTAGAAGGGTATCATGTACTTTTATGGCTTGAAGCTGCGGCTTTTGGGTGTGAAAACGTTTGTGGGGGTAAATGGGTAAGAGTGTGTTTTTTGGGTGTATGTTTAGGTCGTAGTTGTTTAATATTTGTCGTCGGGCTTCTTGCTGAAATTTTTTTTGTGGTGTGGTGCCTGCTGAATTAAGGGCTCTTTCTTCTGCTTCTGTAAGTTCCTGTTTCCCAGTTAGATAGCTGATTTGTTGTTCTAATTCTGTATATTGTTTTCTCTTCTGTTGTCTTTGGTTGTCGTCACATCTGCGTGCCTGTAACTGTATTCCCTGCTTCATTTCATCCCATACTTCGTGTATATTCTTCCCTTCATTTGATAATGTGGTATAATATTGTATAATGTTTGTGATGCAGTCAACGAAGTACTTGTCGTTCAGAAGCGTGTTTCTGAATCTCCAGAAAGCTGGACGCTGTTTTTTTTGGGGGGGGGCAGTATATCGAAGGATAGTCCTGCGTGGTCTGCAAACCAGGGGCATATATGGGCGGAATGTATTTGGTGAAGCCAGTTGTCTGAGATGTATATTCTGTGTAGTCTGGATTTGGGATTAGTTGTCTGGTTCCCGCGGTATGTGAATTGCTTGCTGTCAGGGTGAAACCTTCTCCATACATCTTCCATCTTGTGTGTACGCGTTAAGTTTGCCAGTTGATGTGCAAGTGAAGTGCACTTTTCCAAATGGTGCTCTCTGTCACGTGCCTCTAGGGTGACGTTCCAGTCTCCCCCGATGACTACTGTCCTGTCTAGCGGAGTGTTCTTCATATGTTCCTCCGAGGTGTTCACTACAGTCATTGCTCGGGTTGTACTTATTGGCATGTATATGTTTTTAGCTGGAGTTCTGTGTGATACAGCGTAATGTGGCATGTCTGTAGGTAGCCTGTTACGACTGTGTGGTGCGAATGGATTACTATACAGAGTGTTATTTCTGTGAGTTTGGCTATTGCTGTGCCTGATCCTGATTATATTGCTGGGTTTTGTATGACAGTGTACAAGGGGAGTTCCGGTAATACTGTTATGTCAGAGAGGTTTGTTTCTTGTAGTAGGAGGATATCTGCTTTCTGTCTTTTGTCATACAAAGCAAGTTGAATTTGTTTCGTTTCTCCTTTGATATTTCTTGTGTTAAGTGTTAGGACTTTGACCATGATGAGCAGATCTAAAACATATGCTGTGATCCTCCAGGGGTGTAGCATGTGTTCATTTTTATGATGCTACACTCTGAGACCATCAATGATACGTTTCATTCTTCTTCTTAGGTTGTAGTCTTTCGTGGGGAACAGATTTTATTCCAGCATGTTGGTAAGTCCTGTGATATTGGACGTATATTCTTTGGCTATTGTTTTGGGGTCCTTCTGTCTTCTACAGGCTTTGAGAAATTTTGAGAAAGTTGTAGTCGATATGGGTTGGTTCCCTTTTTCTCTTAAGTTGTCACACAAGATGTCTATGGTTTTATGATCTGGTTCTGTTCCTTTGGGTTGCGGTCATACTACTGTGTATGTCTTCAAGATCACTACAGTTGTTGGAAGAGAGCGACTCCGCGTCACTGAGTTCTTTGTCTTCTGCAGTATCTGGTATTCCATATTTGTTTTGGGGTGGCTGCTTTTGTTTGTGGGTTTTGTTTTGTTTCTTCTTTTCAGAGGCATGGGGCGTGATGGGCTCTGTACGGTCTCCTACTGTTGCCGTGTCCATGCTCTCTGCTGCTTGACAGTGTTCCGTTTGCTGTTCAACTCCGTCTGTATGCGTCTGTGATTGTTGGATGTTCGGTGTAGCATTGTCGGTGACATGGATTTTTGGCTGCTTTTGTGTTGTTACGCTTACGCTGTCTGCTGAGCTTAGTCTCTGCCGTGGCTGAGTTAGAACTGGGAAGGCCGATATGTTGTCGTTGCTGGTTGTCTTTGCCCTTGTATTTGCGTCTGACAGTGTAGGTGCGATGGTTTGTAGAGGTGGGGTGGTAACTCGTCGCCCTGCGGCGAGATCTGCATAGGTGATAGGTCCTAGTCTCGCTTGGGCGGTTGTGTGGCAATTTTGTGTGGCATGGCCGGGCTTATGACNAGATAGATGGATGGATAGATAAATAGATAGCAATACAACCAGGGTCCTGCGTCCTGCCCTTTCTGCAGAGGAACGGACTGGAAAATAATCCCCAATTTCCAATTAATGCGACATTAAGAATGTGAGGATGTTTACGTCCCGCCTTTCGGGGTTCTCTCGCTGATTCTGTTTTGAGCGTCTTACTGTCGAAATTTCGAAGGCGTCTTCTTAACTCTCGTTTTCAAATGATGACAGTTCATTGCACTGACACAAGTAGTGGTCGGATTATTAGCATCTGCTTCGCGTAGTTGGCCTCACGTGCCAAATCTTGGCCCAGAGACTGACCATCCTGATGGAGGGTTGTCGTGTTTTCCTCAGTCTTTCCAAGCAAATCTCGGAATATCACCTTAAACTATATTATGATCACTTCCTTTCATTTTCTAACTAACCATTTGCTGAGAAGAAAGCAGTCTTCTGGGATTTGGCACCGTGTATATGTGGTGTTAACCACATATACACGGTGCCAAATCCCAGAAGACTGCTTTCTTCATAGTCACCGCCGTGAAAGCCTCAAATCTTACATAACCATTTGCTCTTTAATCACCCTATTTTTGGCCGTTATGTTGTCATCTGAAATATTCAAATATCGTCAAAGATATGAAAAGTAAAAGATACTAGTAGTTTTTTAATGCTAGTGGGGTGGGACTAAGTCCCTTGTTCTGCGGTCACTACTGCCCTATTGTACCAGCCCCAGATGATAGGTGAGGGTGATTGTGGAGCAATTGGTGGAATGAAGATTGGCAGGGGAAACCGAAGTACTCGGAGAAAATCTGCCCCAGCGCCCCTTTGTCCACCACAAATTCCACTTGACCAGACCCGGGATCGAACACGGGCCGCCGCGGTGGGAAGCCGGCGACTAACCGCTTGAGCTATGGCGCGGGTACTAGTAGTTAACAACTATTGCATTCCAAACAAATGTCATGCTCAAACAGCGCAGTGTAACTATTCCGACCCTAATTCTAGCATTGCTTGAGTGCACAATAATGAGCGGATGTGTGTTAAGGTTGAATTTACTTGTCGTGAAAAGCAAACTATTATTATCTTGCCAATAAATTTTACCAAGCACTCCAGATGAACTTCAGTACATTTAAGTGCTCAAAATACTAGTATACGACAGAACAGCGAAATGTTAATTGCGAATCTATATTCTACCGAATTACTCTATATTTACGGAACAGCGATATGCAATGTTACACTTGAATTCAACAAAGTGTTTTCTTATTATCTTCGAACTGTTTCTTATTACATTATACCATAAGGACTTGTATAGGAAAGAAACGTGAAGGAAAAAGGTCACTTGGAAAACATAAGCATAGTTCAGAGCATAAGGTGAAAACGTGTTTAATGATTCATCTGGCTCTTGTGAAAACATCAATGAAACTTCAGGTTACATTAAATGCAGGAAATTTCTTGACAGCTGAGCTACTCTCAGATTTTCAGTACTGGCTCTACTCTATGGAGTTAGTTAGTTAGTTAGTAACATGTTACGTCTGAAAGCTAAAGTTACTCAATAAAGCCATTCCGCAATAAAAGAAAGGCAGTTAATGAAGGAATTCTGAGTACAAAGAGATCTACAGAACAATACGTGGCATTTTACCTTCTGCAAAGTTCGGCAGCTTTCTCCCACGAATGGCGGGTGTTAAAGAATTTATAACAGTGCAATCCTCGAAGTTCCCAGCCTGAAAACAACATGAAACAAAATGATAATGGTGTGAAAACAAATAATTCACAGAAAATGCACAATTCTAGTGCCATATTTATACTGAATTTAATTTCAGTATGACTGCAGTGTTGTTCTTGAATAATATCCCAGACAAATGTTTACAGTGTCTGTCCTAGGGCCCGCCTACAATTCGAGTAGAGGCTCCTATTTCAGTTAGTGAAATTAAACAACAAAATGCAACATTATCCTCATATACAAAGTTCTGTAAGCGTGATATTCGTTATTGTCATTAAGTAATTTCATGTAGTCATAGCTACTAAATATCTACAGCTAATAAGATGTATGAGCATAAATTATGTCATAAAAGAGCGAGCAGTTTATTGCTTCAGTGTATCGTGTCTATTCTGTGAGTACTGATAGTATTGTGACGTGTAGACCCGTTTCTAGGCAACGCCCGAAATACATGAATACAAAAATAGAACCAGTGTCGTAAGATGTGTTTCATACATGATTCAATTACATCCATTGCTAGGCAACGGAGCTGTAAACACGCATTCTTGACAAGAGAGTTATCTTGAAGGCAAGCGACGCTACAAGCAGTGGAGGTGTGGGCTCATCTGTGGAGTGTTAACCAGCCGGCAACGGAAGCTCAGAAATCTCCATAGAGGAATGGAAAGGAATGCTGGAAAAATCAGATGAAATACGACTTTCTGTTGTGCCAATATATCTGCAATGCCAGTACATGAGAGACATTAAGCTTAAGGGTTTCTTCACCACCACCCTAATATAATTCGAGTCATGGTTGTCATTTAATCCCCGAAGTTTAATAGAAATGTGCTGTACAATTAATAATATATTTTCTAAGAATATTTATAAAAGGCCAGTTGATAAGGTATTTAGGGAAGTCCCCCTTCCCCCAATTCAGCTTACGTATCAATTGCACGCATTTTCCAGTTGGCTGCCTAGAATAGAAACAAGAACAATATTCGTTCAAGAAAAAAGTTGGTCCATTTTTTTTTCTCGTAAACGAGATTTCCATATTGTTGTTATGCTAAGAATCTATTCGCCCAATTTCTTCTTCTTCTTCTGTACGAACAAAGACTGAGTCACCAAAACATATTACTTAGTTCAATGTTTCGCTGGGTAACCTTTTGGGCCTTCCAGCATATCCCTGTCTCATTTTCATACACACGCCATTTTCGATAGCTCAGACTGTACAGTATGGCATCAAATTATATGGTGAGTAGTGAATGGTTAATCGGAAAAGAATATGGCAGGAACGGTCGTGGTATAATTAGAGCTAATATCCCGACAGTTTCCTGAAAGGATTGAGGAAAATCACGAAAAACCTCAATCAGGATATAGGGCTACCTGGCCAAGAATTAAAGCCGTGCCCTACAGACAAAGAAGCGAGGGTGTTATTGTTCGGTGAGTACATTCGGTATGTTTCCGTCAAAGGGTTCCTATACTGCACCGACTTTTCTCGGTACTTCGGGAATTCTGTTAGCCATTAGAGCACTGCGTATTGTGACCTGCAGTGTCAGGTTCCCGTTACACTGTGGGTCCATAACTGTTTTGTAATTATTTCATTACGTAAAGAGTCACTTACCAAGAAATTTGCAAGTGACTTGAGGACTATCGTGTATTATATTTGGAGTATTTTATATAGTTTCTTTTCAAAGTTAATTTTTATGGTTTCCAGACCACTAAAAAGGAAATCACCTCTATAGACCACTATTAATAGACAGACTTAAAATGATTAACGCCACTATTCTAAGCGCCAGAATAGAGTTCTGCCGCGCAGTGCGTTTAATTATACCGTTATACCAAGAGTTCTCTCTTGCAGAGATAGAATGAATCCAGAAGCAAGTTACCAGTATATAAATATATGTATTGTTTACATGTTGGCTACAGTTACTTCTCCTTTAACGCTAGATAATGTACTGGTTTCAAACATGAACTCAGTTTAATATATAAAATAATATAAAATTATAGTTACAGTTTATATGATTTAAATGGTTACCGACCTACTTTAACATATTACACGTTACTGCTTTTCATTCGAGTTTAAGCATTACGGCTCTTTCTCAGAGAAAAAAAAAAATAGTACAACTCCCGTTTCTTTCCACATAATTCCGAATTCTTCATTCAGAATATCTCTATATTTCCGTCTAATGCAAGCTACCGTATTTACGCATGTATAGGCCGCACATTTTTTGCCAAAAATTCAAGAGGAAAACTGGGGTGCGGCTTATATTCGAAATATTCGAAATCACACTTCATTTTAAAAAAATTAACGTTGCCAAATTTCGGAATAATTTCTACTCCTGAAATAATATTCCAAGAAAATTATTTTTTCTATAATTTCTGTCTGAAAATTGTGCTGCGGCCTATACACGCACGCGGCCTATACATGCGTAAATACGGTACTTAGTGACAAGACTCTGACATCATTACATACAGTCTGTACTTTATTTTCTTAAGTTACACTAAACCGAAAACGGAATTCACTGTTATGACTTTCGCAATTTATGTAAAACCTCATTCTTTGGCTTCAGGAAATATTTTAGTTTATGCATGGACTCCACCTGCGTGTTTCTGTGAGACTGATTCAGTAGATGGTTTCAAGCAAGCCTATGTAGCAAATATAAAAACCATAATAATATATTTGGAAACAATATCATGGTTATAAATATTTCTATAAAATACACGACTTTAAGCTTAAATTAGAAGCGGAGATCTATTACGGAATAAATCAATAATTATTTTGTTATGATATAACAATACTTAGGCATATATGGAGATGTTACAAAAATATTAACGAAATCTCGCCAAGTTTTTATTCAGCTCATACTTGCTGCTAGCACGTAATGTGGGACACACACAATGTTAATGCATTAAAATAGCGACCATCAGACGCAACTCTCAGAACCGGTCTTGCAGATATGTAACAGACAAGCAACTACACATATGGGTTTCCACAGACTGATGAATAAACATAACGACAGCCATTATCTGGCTATTAGAGCCCCTGCCTCATATTCGTAAGGTCAAGTCTACAGCTCTGAGGTCCTTTTGTTGGACTTTGACCGTTTTTAAGTTTCTTAATCCTATACAGTCAGTAGGACTCCTTAGACGGGAGATCAGCCCGTCGCAAGGCCGCTATCTACACACAGAACAACACCAGCACACAAAAAACGCACACACAAACATCCATGCCTTGAGTGGGATTAGAACCCACGATCCCAGCGTCCAAGCGAGCGAAGACAGTTCATGCCTTAGACCGTGTGGCCTCTGTGATCGACTCAAATGGATATGGACTCCGTAAAATTGTGTCCGTAAGTAAGTGTGTGCTGATAATGTGCCTTAGGCAGGTCAGAGCTACTCCTTCCCAAACTTCCACGCGTACGTATAAAATCTTGTCTTCCAGAATGATGACTGTAGATCTACAGTTAATAGAAAAGCAATTGTTATACTAACTTTGGTTATAAGGAGATCAACGCCCACGGCCCATATACAGCTCGCTTTGTTAAGATTTCCTTGGCTTTTACTGCGTCTTTTATCAAGTACCAGACCAGTTTACAGTCTGAGACAGGTCTCTTTGTAATCAGTTTTATGCTGTGTTACGGATTACCTACCACAAGCGCATACAGCCATGGACGCCGACGCGCATCTAAACCTACTCACACGCACACACCCACGCTGCAGTTCTTTAAAAAAAAAATGAGGATTTTGAGGCTCGGCGCTCAATTTCATTTAGAATACAAGGTTTCCCATGTTCCTCAGCACCACGACACGAAGCCTTGTCGCGAGTTTCCTGAGAGGAAAATATTTTGGACTGCCTGTAACTGTTTCCTACAGAATGCGAGACCACACGGCCGACGAGGCGGGGAGCATGTTTTTCTCTTCAGAGGTGTACATAAAGGTCAAATGTTATTAATATGCTTTCACTGGGTGGAACTGTGTAAGCTGACATTTTAGACATTTAGAGGTAACTGGAAGGGAAGAAACTTCTTGCTGAATGACATGATATTCGCTGGAATTTAACCTGAACTTCCGTTGTTGATTTCTCAACCCCCTCAAACAGGTAGGTATAACGATTATGATAAAGATTCATCGGCCCTCGAAGTCCACAAACAAAGAAATTTTGCACTAAGCATAAGATCAGATACGTCCAGGACTATTGTAATACTTTCCTTAAGGTCCCAGAACCAATGATTTTCTGTGTAGATGATTCGTAAACAATTTACAATTGAATAAAGTTGTCATCGCCGTGAAAACCTCAAAACTTACATAATTTACAATTGATTTATTGTTATTCTAGGCTGACACGTTAGGCTCTATAGCCAGTTTCTTCTCAGAATTAAAAAATTATGAAATTTTAATCTAAGTGGTTATTGTGATGGCGTATAACACACAGAATTATTGGATCTTTGGACTTTTTCATCGTCCGGCATTCTAGAAAATAGAAAACAAGACGTTTCGGAAACTGGACCTGTTTCCGTCTCAGGTGATGGGGAAAGACACCTACTCAGCAGGGCCCCTTAGAAAGAGCTAGTCACAGTCACTGGAAAACGCCTAACGGTTTTACACAGCTGTTTATTTAATCACCTGACACCAGTCTAATTCGGCGGGAGATAACAAGAAACTATACAATAAAAATTGTGATAGAGCACGAATATGCGTGGCTTCTGCTTATTTGTCGGTTTGAAAGCGGGAACCAACGAACTCCTGGAGCTAGGCACATGACATGTGGCATAGAGATAGGTCAAATTTATGCCTAAAAGTTTGTGTGAAATATTATTCATTGGGCAACAGTTACCAACTTGGAGACGGTACAAAATGTCAAAGCTGTGCCCGACAAATTTAAAGTAGACAGAAATTGTAGGTGACTCAAATAGTAAATTCTTCCGAGAAATGAAACTAATGGTGTGACATATGAATCCACTGCACGGGTAGCGACTCCTAAATAGACGTCTCGTAAGCAACGCACACAGATATTTCCTGCACAACTGG